TTATCTGCTTTTATCTTAAAATTTCAAAGTTTACCATGGAATAAAATTTATATTCCTGTTGCATTCTAAATATTTTTCAAAAGGAGGAAGATATACATTTGAGACATTTATATGAGGACTTGGATATATGGTCAGTTTATCAATTTATTATCTAAACATTCCTTCCCTACAAAGGCTATGTATTGACTTATTTTAATATCTGTGATAAAAGAGAGCAGTCTGATACTTCAATGATATTTCTGCTTTAAGTATTAATTTTCTTGTTCTAACTTTCTATTCTCAAAAGTAATTCAGTTTTTTGCCTAGTTTATTTGACTTGTTATGGAATCAAAAACTTCATATGTGGGTAGAGATTTTTTTTAAAGAGAGCACTCAGTTATAAATGCACTACAGACTATTTAGAGCTCTATACTCCTGTCAGTTCTAAGAAATATTCAATTGAGTTGGGAATGGCAAGAGCTCAGCACTAAGATAAATGCCCTGTTGTATGTATCCAGTGGGTAAATGCTGTTACCCCTAGTAAAACGAATATACTTATTTTCCAGCTGTGAAATGTTTAAATATACATGAACCGCCTAAATGTTGAAAATATAGGATGAAAATAATCAAACATCTCATTAGTTCTGCTATTATATTGGTCAATTCCATCAGCTGTTTGCTTTTATATAGCAGGCACTTAAGCAAAATATACCAATTCCTCCTTCATGTATTCTTTTTGCTCTTAAGTTTTTCATATTTTTCATGTAAGACTAACAGTATCATAATATAAATGCAATAAGCCAATGTATAATGTACAAAAAAGCTCAGAAAACCAAAAAAACCAAGTCATTGAAGCTTCTTCGTAGTAGAGTATCTTGTAAACTATGTTCGTTCTTACAGCCTGTGTAAGTAGAACAAAGATTTTTTTTTTTTTTGCAGTTCTTTATGAGTTGCTTTCTTTGGGTACAGGAGTAGATGTATGAATTATAGGTGATGAGTGCAAGTTTTGTCATGTGAACTATCTTGCTTAATGAAAACTGTTGCTTTAGCAAGAATGAGTTTTCCTTCAGAGATTTTCTAGGAAAGAATGTTTGAAGAGTCATATGACTATTTATTTTAAGAATGTGCATGTTGGATATGTTATGATATAGTTACGGTTGGATATGTTATAATATAGTTGTGGTGTCTATAGCAGGAAAATTAATAAGGCTTTGGAAGATTTATATACTCATGAGTCCCACAGAGGGAGTCTGTACATTTCTTTACTCATGAGTCCCACAGAGGGAGTTTGTACATGCCATGAAAGACAATAGAGGTTTTGGTCAGATGGTAGATGGCAAAACTCTAGGCCAGAAGACTTTAATGAGATTTCCAAGGAAAGGTACTGCAGAGTAGGCACTTCAGCATGGTTAGTTTAAATAATTCCTGTGGGATATGAACTTTAAGGGTGGTCTCTAAATGCTTCATACCCAGCCTGGGATGATTTAAGACAAGAGGAATATTGGAATGTTGGCTGCCTCTGTGAGAGTTAGATAAGTGGATGTTTGGGGATTTAGACTTGGGGTTGGTTGTTTGGCATATAAAAGATCCACTTCAGGTCAGCCCTTTGCAATCTCTAAGAATTATGTAGCCCTGAGAGGGAAGTTTTTTCATCTGCTAAACTCTCTCCAGCAAGTTTTATAAGATGTCAAAACATCATAGACTATAGAAAATCAAGCCAGAAGCCTTGGTTCTAGTTCATGGTCAGTACAAGTACAACAATGAGCAATTGCTTTAACTTTGGAGCCTTGGATTCCTTACTGGTATCATCAAAATGAATACCAGTAAGGTATGAAAATCCATGCTACTACTACTACTACTACTACTACTTTTTTGTCTTTTTTTTGGAACTGGGGGTGGAACCCAGGGCTTTGTGAATATAAGACAAATACTTTGCCAGTGAGCTGCATCCCAGCCCTTTCTATGCTACTTTAATGAGTATAAAGCTTTAATGAGTATAAACTCAGTGTATAGTTTCCTCAGAGGTCATTACATCCAAGATGAACATGTAGCCCAAAGAAATAGTCCTTTGGACTATACCTAATTCTTGCTTAAGCAAAACTTCTTACTGATCATGAAACTTGAAGTTTTTAACCTTTTCTGTCTATCGCTTCATAATTCCACAACTTGATCTAAAGAAAGGGCTTATAAAATCAAGACAAAAGAATCTCTGTTCTACCTATGTTGGCCATAAAAACAGAAATGATTTGCAAATGTATGGTTTGCTTTACTAAGTTTTTTCTACATTGTATCTTAGCAAACTTTTATATAATGGTGTGTTAGATTTTTTTTTTCTCACTGTGACAAATACCTGAGATAATCCAATTATAAGGAGGAAAGTTTTACTTTGGCTCACTATTTCAGAGGTTTCAGTTCATGACACTTGACATCATTGCCCTTGGGTCTGTGGCAGCACAGTACATAATGGAATGAGCATGTGGCAGAGGAGCTGCTCACCTCATGGCAGTCATGAAGGGAAAAGAGAGAGTGTGTGTGTGTGTGTGTGTGTGTGTGTGTGTGTGTGTGTAGGGAGGATAACCAATATATCCTTTCATAACATTCTCTGAGTAATCTAATTTCCTTCTATTAGGCCAGTCTCCCCAAAGTGCTACAGATTAGCAATCAAGTCTTTAACATGGTGGAGATATTTCAGATCCAAATTGTAGCAAATGGGTAGACTATTTTATTCCAACATAAAACATATTTGAAAAAAAATAAGTATCTGGAGATTAAGGAGTTAGAATATTTTGGGTTCAGTGACTGTAATGCAGCTGAAGCAAATTGTCAAATTAATGACAGAATTAATGGTGGTTTGATTTGTGTGTTTCTCTAATTTCTACCTTTATCTACACACATAGAATATGAATTATATATTTGTTTTGAATGAAATTTTGAAATTTAATCCATCAGATATCTGTGGTAGAACCTTAAAGTTTTCTCAAAGAGTAGGCATGTAGATTAGTTTTATACATTAGCTTCAACATCTTCCCCTCTGCCTTACTGAATTTTTTCAGTCTTTAAGGTGCATGTCAAGTGCCTTCTTCATTGCCAATGCCTCCAAACCACTCCAATTCATGAATAAGTTCTCATTTGAGCACATACTATGTTTATTATATATCCCATTCCATTGTTACTTGTAAACAAACCTGTGCTATCAGTTACATTTTCCTAATTTTTTATTTTAAAGATATAATAACACTTTAATGGAACTTGACACATACAGTAAATTCATTAATTATTATCAATTTCTTATTAACACATGACCTCTAAAATTCACAATATATTTTATTAAGTTAAAAGTGTTTTGAAGTAAATGTTTACATTAACCAATAATAACTAATAGTGACGTAGAACCTACTGGGTTCTTTAAATATTATATTTAACTCTGCATATTAATAAAGAATAATTATAATATTTTCAAATTCCAAATTGGGTATTCTTCATCTTCCTGTCGTCTTTAGACCCAGTAAAGGAAGGCCATGCTCTGTGTCTAGAGCTTTTCATGATCTTGCCCTTTCTCTCCTCTGGCTTCACACCTCTTCATGAAGCTCTAACCTTGAGGGATGAGGAGATTTGCCACATAAATCCTATGCTTTCCTCTTTCATCAGACCACAGATAGTCAAGACCCCATAATTTCTTTCTCAAGCTCAGGGTTTCCTTCAGGAACTCCATGTCCTGTTGAGTTCCATCCTCCAATGGATATACTGTGCATTGTTCTGCTCATCTCAAGTTAAATGGAAGACCAAAGTTGACAGCTTTGGGTAGCAGAAAGGGGCACAGCTTGTATCTGAAGGCTTATAGGCCACCATATGTACATGGTGAAGCCCTCATGGTTTGGGATGGAGCTAGAGTGAAGGAATGGAACAGCAGTAGGACTGACTAAAGTTAGGGGCTAGCCCTCTATGGACCACTGTATGGACCTGGCATTCCAGGTTGTTAGGAAGTTGTCTTTACAAAGTAAGAATATAAAAATTTAAATTTTCATCTTACTTATATTACTTAAAAACATTTATACACTTGGTATGTAAGGCCCAAACTTATATTCTTGCCTCAGATCCCAATTTCCAGATATGTTAGTAAATTTCATATTCTTTTACAGTTGTACCAATCTTGAATTTATTTTCTTATTTTAGGAAATCAAATTCAAATGTAGAAATCTAATGTAAAGTACTTTCTCCCTTCTTGGTTGAGATGAAATTTATCAATTGCTGTGTTTTAACTGTTTTGGTATTGAGTCCAATTCCAATTTCTTTATTTTTTTTTCTTCCTTTCTTCCTCTCCTCCGCTTCCTCCTCCTCTTTTTTCTGTCAATGAACTAAGAAACAATTTTTTCACAAACATCACAAATTTGACATCAAAGATAATGCACCACTTTAAGTATCCTTATATACTGTCTTTGAGTAGTTTCATATTTCTTGTGTGATTTTTCTGACCCTTTTCTCCAAATAAACATCCCCCCAAAGAGCCACGTAAATATTTTACTGAATACTGTAAAATACATTGTGATGTGATGTGTGGCAAATTGGATATGAGGACAGATGGGGAAAACAGAAAGCATATATCATGGGACTCATTGTTTTGTTTTCTTTTTTTTAAATCAGATAATGAATGCTTCTTTATGTTCTTTTAGTGTTACAGGAAATAATTAAACTGCTCTTTATGTATTTAAGTAGTATATACTTTATAACAGTCCTATGAAATGGGTAATATTAAGTTTAATTTTACACTTAAGGAAATTAGAGATATTAAATAAAGTTGCTGTGGGTCATACAGTTAATATGTAAGAAGGCAAGATTCATAGAGGGATGGTCAATTGCAGAAACCATCCTCTCAACCAGAGGCTCATGATTAAAATGCTGTTGCATTATTGCTTTGAACAGCTTCATTTGTATCCTTTTAATTCACTTTTTGTTAAAACATTTGGAAGTTTTCATTTCACCATTGTCATTTTATAATTACTTAATTTTTTTTCTTTTCACAGTGGGATGCCATCACTGAAATGGATGAACACAATAGGCCTATTCATACTTACCAGGTATGCAATGTAATGGAGCCAAACCAAAACAACTGGCTTCGTACAAACTGGATCTCACGTGATGCAGCTCAGAAAATTTATGTGGAAATGAAGTTCACACTAAGGGATTGTAACAGCATCCCTTGGGTCTTGGGGACTTGCAAAGAAACCTTTAATCTGTATTATATGGAATCAGATGAGTCCCATGCAATTAAATTCAAGCCAAGCCAGTATATAAAGATTGACACAATTGCTGCTGATGAGAGTTTTACCCAGATGGATTTAGGTGATCGCATCCTCAAACTCAACACCGAAATTCGTGAAGTGGGGCCTATAGAAAGAAAGGGATTTTATCTGGCATTTCAAGACATTGGGGCATGCATTGCCCTGGTCTCCGTTCGTGTTTTCTACAAAAAGTGTCCCTTCACTGTTCGAAACTTGGCCATGTTTCCCGATACCATCCCAAGAGTTGACTCTTCCTCTTTGGTTGAAGTACGGGGCTCTTGTGTGAAGAGTGCTGAAGAGCGTGATACTCCTAAACTATATTGTGGAGCAGATGGAGATTGGTTGGTTCCTCTTGGAAGGTGTATCTGCAGTACAGGATATGAAGAAATTGAGGGTTCTTGCCATGGTAAGGAACATTTAAATAATTTATTTTGCATTTAATTATTTTTTAAAAGTAAACATGTTCTACAATAATTTGAAAATAGTAAACATTTTGATACTGCTCCTAATAGCTAATTATAGAAATAATTGACTCCTTTTATCTATATGAAATTGTATAACCTGTTTTTTTCTTCCTGGAAAAATATATCATTTTTATTTTGATAAAGGAGTTAAACACTATGTATTGTGGTTTTCACCTATTTTTATAAAGACTATTAAAATCAACCACAGTAATAAAAACCAATGGGGATTCAAAATAGGATTTGCCGGATGTCCCCGGTGTTGGTGGTTTAGAGACACTGTCATATTGAAACACCATTAAAAAAGGATTGCATTTTTCATGTTGAATTATAATAAAAGAATAGTATTTAAGTGGAATTATACTTAAAGGGGTAATTCATATGTTTTATTTTTTTTAAAAAATAAGCTAGTTTATACAGGTGTTATATGTTTGAAGGTTGAAGGTTGAATATTGACCTTTTCAAAAATTAATTTATCCCTTGTTATTATTAAGTACACTTTCCAGCCACATGACACAGTAAGTATTTATTAAAATAGCTGCATTTGTATAAGGTCCAAGTATTAGGATATATTAATACTACATAATGCTAGTTAAGTTTAGCATTACACAGGGTTAGATAATGAAAGACCTGTAATTTTAAAAGAGAGACATTTTTCCTTTTTTATATGAAATATCTTATGAGGGTTTATTAATTTAATGAATCTATATAAATATATACCCTTGATAAATATCATCTATTCAATTATGTTTGCATTTAGTACTCAAAACCAAAACACACATATAGAAAAAAAGTTATTTTCTTGGTAAATTGTAGCATACTAGAGTTATTTCCTTCTCGGAGATAAATTATATACAGATGTTTGCCGGTAGTGCCATATTGAATTTTTTGACATCTTGGTTGATGGTATATTCACATGCATTAAAAAACTGAGAAAAAATAAATAAGGAAAAATTACTTGTTTTTATATAAGGGTCATGGATAATATATGTGAACTTTCAAAGGATTTATCTACTCATAACATGTTTGGGTTCTTGATTCTTGAAAAGTTTGCTACAGGCTCCAATGATCCTCATGTTTTATAGTTGGAGAACATTCATATTGGCATGAAAAGTCAGTAGTGTGTATTTTATAAAGCATGAACTAGTCTTCTTCCACTATTTAATCACTCAAATATATTTCATTCAGATTTATCAATATAGATTGAACCTGAAACTTTTACTCACCTTAAACAAAGATTTATAATGGAGCAAAAATAAATCATAAATGATCCTGGATAGATTTATAAAATACTTTATATTTTTGCTATATTTTTAATACAATAAATATTTTATACATATGAAAAATTATTCAGTGAATGGGAGGGCAATTAGAACTGGGAATAAAATATACCTAAGGAACTATACTGTTTTGCCACATTTTACACATAGAAGTTACAGGCTTTGATTGATAAAAATAATCAAATTTTAAAAATATTTTAAAAATTGTTCAATAATCCAAGGATTTATGTGATTAGCTTTTACTATATTTGTATTTTTATGGCATAGACCACAGGATTAAAGTAACCAACAATGATGACTAGATATCTTTACATAACATGCTTGTTGTGTGAAATTTTATTCTTTATATATGCCCTAATATTTCTTTATTTGTCTGGCAAAGGTGATTTTGGACAATTGATAAACATCCTCAGATTGTCTAGTGCTTTTGCATGTCCATTTTTATGTCTTGTTATCTTTATTCTTATTTACCTGGTTTCAGAAATATGAGGGAGTTGGGATAGTGTAAACGTTGATCATCTTCTTGTACTATATACCAGAAACTATAAGGATTGACCTTGAATTTTATGACCATGGCTTAATAAATTTGAAATCAGTTTTTGTATCTATTTGTTATTTTGTAAGACTGAAAATAACCACATATGGTTTTAATTAAATATAAGGACATGCTATTAGCAAAGAAAAGGGAATTTGAGTGGATGTAGAGACTAGGTTTTTTATTTGTTCTAATTACTTACTCATGACATTAGAATGCATAAATGGAGTATAATTTCTCATTCTTCTGGTTGTACAAGTTGTAGAATCATACTGGTCATGTAACTATATATGTACATATAGTAATGATGTCTTATTCATTCTACTGTACTTCCTACATTTATACTCCTGCCTTCTCCCTTCACTCCCCCTCTACATGATCCAAAGTACCTCTATTTTGCCCTAACTACACCCTGGCCCTTATTGTGAATTAGCATCCACATATCAGAGAAAACATTTGGCCTTTGGTATTTGGGGATTGGCTTACTTCACTTAGCATAATATTCTCCAGCTTCATCCATTTACCAGCAAATGCCATATTTCATTCCTAAGGCTTTGTAATATTCTATTGTGTATGTATACCATATTTTCTTGATTCATTCATCTGTTGAACGTCATATAGGTTGGTTCCATAGTTTAGCTATTGTGAATTGAGCTGCTAAAAACATGAATGTGGCTGCATCAGTATAGTCTTTTGGGTATAAACCAAGGAGTGGGATAATTGAGTCAAACGGTGGTTCCATTTCAAGTTTTCTGAGGAATCTCCTTCTGCTTTCCATAATGGTTGCACTTATTTGCAGTCCCATAAGCAATGTATGAGCTTACCTTTTCCCCCACATCCTAGCCAACATTTATTGTTGCTTGTGTTCTTGATAATTGCCATTTTGACTTGAGTGAGATGAAATCGTAATTTCAATATGCATTTCTCTAATTGCTGAGATGTTAAACATTTTTTCATATAGTTGTTGATCTATTGTATTTCTTATGTGAAATGACTGTTCAGTTCCTTAGCACATTTATTGATTAGGTTATTTATTTTTTGGTGTTGAGTTTTTTATATATCCTGGAGATTAACATAGGGACCCATTTTTAAACTTTTTTCGTGGCAGCATCCTATGTTCTGTAAAATTATTTGCTTACAATTCTGTAGTCAAGATATCTGGACTGGGTTCATGAGGCAGTTCTTATTTGCTCTTGTAAATACAACTAAAGTTATTTGAAGATTTATCAGAGCTGGATGTCTAAGAATGGCTTCATACACTTATAATTCTATATTGAGGATCTTTGAATTTCTAAGGTTGCTTACTGAATACATCCTAATTACACTCTTTTAGTGTGTTTTATTTCAGATAATTATTCTAGTATTTTTATTTATTGGTATATATACATTAAAAGTGATTATTCCCAATAGTATTCAAGTGACTTCACAATTGGGCGCTGTTCTGTTCTTTTCCTAGCCTTGGAAAATTCTGTCTGCTATTCTATTTTTATTATTTTTGAAAAATTTGTGTGCTTTTCATATCCCTTTTTTCCATATTTTATTTAGCTGCTCAGTGCCCCTTTTTTTCCCTTTTTCTGCAATGGTATTTCATTCATCCTCCGAAGTATAGCACAAGTGTCCTAAGTCTGGGTTTTCAGTGAGTTAGTAGCTCTCTTCTCTATGTTAACAGTTTTTACTAATTATTTGCCTGTTTCACCTGGCTATCAGATAAAAGAGGTGTATTTCAACCTCGCCTGTGTAATAAAGGGTAGGAAACTGGTTGATGGGAGTGTTTCTGTGGAACTGAGAGTGGAGTCTCCTGAGTAAAGGTTTAGCTTCTGGTGGAGCTGCTCCCTGCACTGTTTATCCTCATCTATGAAACAAGAAAGCTCCTTTCAGGGAGGGTTTCAGTATTATAGATCTGGAAGGCCTTAAAAAGTACTGTCATCCATCATTTTATGACTGGGCACTAAATTACTAAAAACAGAGCTTCGTTTTCTGGGGCCAACAGTAGTGACCAACACTAGACTGAGAATTGAAGCTCCGATGTTTCTCCTATTGGCTGTTGTGAGTTTTTCCTTTCTTCTTTCCTCTAGTCTCCCCTTCCTTCCTCCCTCCCTTTCTTCCTCTCTCTTCCAATCAGTGGTGCTCTTACTTTGTATTAATTTTTCCTGTCTGCCAAGCCCAAAATAATGTAGGTCTGCTACACATTATTTAAGACCCCTTTCAAGCTGTTGTTTATTTTCTGTAGTCCAATATAGTTATTGTTAGGACAGAATTGACACATCCATTTTGAAATTTAGACTACCAAGAGTAATGGAAAAAATACACATTTATGTAGAACTTTGCAGATAAAGATCACAAATAAGAAAATTTACAGTGAAGCTTTGTATATTTTCATAATTTGCTTGAATTAATTTGAGAGCTCTACGCAGTAGACACAATAATATGATTTAATGTAGAATAAATCCATGTATATCTATATTATATGTATCTATACTGAATGATATATAAGTACTTATGTTTATATAATTCGTTATTGTATTGTATCCTAAAGAATTATATCACTGAATGTTTGAATTAGTGATGCCTTTCTCCAATATTAAGACACATCTAGATCCAAATTCTAGAAGCACAAAAGAGAGAAGTACTCTTATTCTCGTAGTATCAATCAAGTTTAAATAGAAACTTTATTATGGCATATATGATAAATTTAAAACAAAATGCAAGGATCTAGGTTACTGTATTTTACCTAACAAGCATTAGTATAATTTTGGCTTACAAATCAATTTATTTTTGATAACTATTTTAATTCTATTTCATAAGTTCCTAAGTAAAACTGTCATACTGGGCATATTGATATTAGACATATAATTTGTAATTTATTTATTTTACTTAATGTTGAATCTTGTTAAGGATTTGAATTAAAAATGAAGTTGATTGGACTAGCATTGGAAATGCTAATTTACATCAAATAGTCTTTCACTTTACATATCTAAGATTATTTTAAGACTATATAAGGAATGACTGGATATGACATGCAAAGTTGAATGCAATTTTTGTTCAGTTGTCTGAGTCCTAAAGTAACATGAATCCCTAATAATCTCCTCTGGAACATTAATTTAAGATAATCTCATTAAGGTTGTAGCAT